TACACAATAATACCCGCTACACATAAGTGTGTTCTAATATTAAACTAATTTATATAAAATAACTTGTAAAAAGAAAGAAGCACTTTTTAAAGTGAAGAATTTGTTAAAACGTAACACTTGTTTTTATTTTTACAAGTTTTCTTGTATGATTTATTTTAATAAAGCACACAAGATTAATAGAGCAGCTAGTGGCTCATACTAATGTGAGCAGTTGCTCTATTATAATACTATAGTTATAATATAATATTATAATATAATACTATAATATAATACTATAGCTCTATTATAATACTATATTACAATACTATATAGCTACAAGTCACCATATTGCCATTTTGTATCTGCACTTAAATCACAATTAAAAATGTAAACAGCTACCACGTCACACTCTTTCCAATATTTCAATTATTATTTCAAAAAGATTTCTCTCTTGCGCCACATAAGTACTCCTCTCTTCAGAATATATTTTAAATTAGCATGCTCGAGATACACGAACCGTTTCATATCTCACAAGTAATTCACAACCACGTCACACTTTCTTCAATATTTTAATTATCATTTCAATTTCTCGCACGCCACGCTAATATTTCTGTTGATCAACTATATCATCATCAGTTGTAACCAGACACACGAATACTGGCTTACTGGAAAGTAGCCAATTTGCAACAAATAAGCTCGTAAAACGTTGACGCAGTAATCAGATTATATACAAAAAAAAATGTCGGTTAGGCGATGACTACCACGCTGGCAGAAATTGTTATCAGAGATTAGATAAGTCCCTGTACACAATCGATATCGCGGTGATACGATTCGCCTCGCTTTCACAGTGTGTATGCGACAGTGAAAAGCCGGCCGTGATTTCAACGAAGAGCAAACTTGAATAAACATGTCTGATATTGTCAAGGCCTCTGCCATTTTTTCTTTTTCTGTTTTTCTTTTTCCACGAAACATCGGGCGTATAATTTTGAAAAACTGGAGCAGTTTAATATTGCTACGTGGTATTTAATAAATCGAAATTTTCGTGTATATTAAATAATTTAATGGTCCTCGGCAGTGTCAAATATGTGTTTCGTATGAAACGTAGAGTGACTCTCGTTAACATTCGGTTGAAACTGCTGTAATTTTGTAAAAAGGAATTCTACAAATAGTGAATTTATTTATAGGATTTATTTTAAAGCTTGAAGTCTCTACCTTCAAAGCGCATTGTTCATTTTATCTTAGAATGTTTTTATGCTACGTAACAAACGGCAAGATGAAGACTTGTCTCCTCGAAAATTCTCATAAATTATTATAGTAAATATTTTATAGTTAGAATAATATAATGTAAATTTATATAATAATATTTATTATCTGAATAAAATTTTTAACATAATAAAAATTTATATAATAATATTTATTATGTAAATATAGTTTTTATCCATATAACAAATAATTTAATATAATATAAATTTATATAATAATATTTATTATATAAATATAGTTTTTATTTATATAATAAATAATTTAATACAATATAAATTTATATAATAATATTTATCATATAAATATAATTTCTATTTATATAATAAATAATTTAATATAAATATTAAATATTTTATGTTACAAGTAAAAAAACGTTGGAAAATCTTTTCGAGGAAAGTTTTTTTCAATTAATCGAATTCCAAACGAGATAAAACACAACGACGGAAATATTGGAATATCGAAGTATGAATGTAATAAATTCAAAGTTAAGAATAATATATAATGAAAGCATTCTTTTCTAAATTCTTGCAACTCGATTTTGTAAATTGAACATTACGCCAAGTGATTCGCCTCGTTCGCCTCTCGAAAAGAAACTATTGGAAACCATCGTTTCGTTTTCCACGCTTGTTATCGCTCGTTACGAGGTGATGTTAACGACTCGTTGAAACTTTCAACTCGCAGTTAGTCAAGTCGAAAACGCCCATTACAACTTCTCCGTAACGCCAAGTACTGTTGTTTCCTTGAAACTGCAGGTGACAAAACTTGGCAATTCATCGATCATACACACTCGCGTGTGTCGACGAGCGCGAATTCACGATTCCCGACGCGGTTAAACGCATGCTGATCAACTTAACGGAAATGATAAGACACGACCGTTATTTGCGTACTCGATTGCCCTCTTTCCATATAAATACCTCGCGCTAATGTCTACGTTGGTTAATATCCGTGTTAATGCATTTCGTAATCTGATTGAAGTGACCATTGTTTACGAGGAGGATTTCCTCGCGTAACTGTGCCTAGGATTATTACAGCGTGTTGAATATTTCTCCGGGAAAGGAGAGAAATTACATCTTCTTCATTTTCAGGGGCTTTCAATTTTCGCAGATCTTTTATATTTTCTAATATTCTCAAATTCGTGTGTGTTATATTCAATTTTCGCAGATTTCTCGTGCTTTTATATTTTCTAATATTCTCAAATTCATGTGTGTTCGTATATTTTTTGAAAACTTTCGTCCTTTTACATTTCTGCAAATTTGGAAATATTAGGATAAGATCTTTAAATAGCCAAGTATTTCAGCTTTCGAAACGTATTAAAATATTTCGAATATTCCAAATACAGTGTATTTAATTGATTATGTTATAACGTGTATATATAATTAATTATTTCATAAAATTTTTAGTTTCATTTAGATATAGATTTATAAGTCTCTTTAATCTTGTAGAATTTTGAAGTCCTAGTTTCCATTTCCGAGCATTTTAGAAACGTTCGGAATTTTAATAATTGCAAAGTTAGGTTACACAACACGAGGCATGCAATTCACAATTAATCAAACAGTCTCTTCATTCAAACATGCAACGAACTATTTTTGTTGTTACCACTACTAATTGGTAATAATTTATAAGAAATATTTACTTTCAAATTATTTATGTATTATGAAATACTGTATATGTATTGTAGCGGAAAAAAGACGTTTCCTCAGACAAAAAAAAAAAGTTACAAGAATTTACAACTCATGCGTCGCCTACGCTATCCAAGTTCAGTTTTTACAGTGCGTAAAGACCAGACGTCCACACTTATGGTTTCAGAAATTCGGCCACAATAGCATTTCTGCGAAGTGTCGTAAACTCTAGGACTCCTAAGGGTCACCCAGATCTTCATCTGGAGAACACTTGGAGAAAGTAAGTGAGGCCCAGAGGAAACCCTGCTACATCGCCATAATTCGGGGAAATTGCAGCCCTACTCTCAGAGAAAGCGCGTCACGAACGCAAAGAGTTAGGCGACGCAATTTCGTGACAATTTAATCGGCTAAAACTCAAAAACGATTCGGCCAATTAGGGATGTCCGAGACAGGGACCGAGTTTTCCTAATAGCGAAGAAAGCAACGAGCTCAGAGAAGAATTCGGACAGTCAAAAGTGACTGATAAAGACACTGTCATACGGACGGATAGATAGACTCTAGTCAAATAAACTTAGTTAACCACGAACAAGAGTCTACCACAATCTATCCCGCAACAAACATAAGTATGTGAAATGTAAATTATTTTTAATTTACACGAAAAGTGTTGGCAAATTAGAAATAATTAATTGACACACAACAAAAGGATTCTCTATTCCAAGTTTGATTCACATTTTACATAATACTTTTAATTTAAAATATTTCGATAAATATTCCTAAAAAAGATTTATGAATCAAGAAAAATTGCAGATCAGTATTGTCACAAAAAAAAAAAAAAGGAAAAAGAACATTGAAAAACCTACTCCAATATAATCGCCGTTTAAAGATATTTCTTTTAAAAGAAGATCAATTGTCAATACGTATAAAATAGTCATAGTACATAAATAGTCATTGTTGTAGACGTTCGAAAAGTTTGTTCACAGTATTGTCTATTATTTAATTGTCAACAATCATGCACACGTATATAATTTAGCACTTGCGAATGTTTCTATGCTACCTACAACCTTCCCGCGGTTTTTTCGTAATCGAATCCGTGCTCGATTCATTGCGAAACAATCGCACGCTTCCCCTAACGTAAACGGTTGCGTTTCATGTCATGCACAACGAGCAAATTTCATGCTCTGTTTTGTTCGAACAGCGGTACGCCGCGAAAATAATTCGAGCAGTTTCGAACGAACAGGAAAACAAAAGAAAAAAAAAAAAGAAAAAAAATAACAACAAAGAGAAAAGAAGCAATCGATCATGTAAAAGCTATGACTGTCTTGTCAGATCATTGCTCGAAAGCTGAGCTTCCTATGCGGGAAACAAAAATCGTATGAAAGAAAAAGAAGGTGAGAGGTACTATCGTGTAGAGGTATCTGGACATTTGAAAATTATTGTAAATAATGGATGAAAGTTTCTAAATTTATTTCTATTAATATTGGGATTCTTTTATGTACGTTTGTATTAAAATTAGCATTATAAACGCTATTCTGTTGTCACAGATACAAAATAAATATATTATTTGATATAATAGTAACGGAATAAAATATTAACATATTAAAATAATAAAATAATAAAATATTAAAAACAGCAACAATTGAAGAAGAATGAGAATTGAGAAATATCTGAGTCAAACGACTGTAAGTATGTATATATCTATATACTATATTAATATTTGATATAATTTCATATGAAATTAATTCTTCTGAAAATTTAAATTTGAAGTTTCATTAATTTAAATAATATATATATATATATACTATAATATAATAATATATATACTATATAGTATTACATATATTAGCACTAGTATTAATTCAATACTATTATATATACTATAATATAATATTATATATACTATATAGTACTATATATATTAGTACTAGTATTAATTCAATACTATGTACATTAGTATATAAAATATATCAGACAATATCAGAAACAAAAATTAACAGATATATCATCTGAGAAGCAATCAACTTAATATTATACTGTATTAACGTCCAAATACTCATACACAATGGTAGATATAAGATGGATCAAATAAAAATAAATAGAAAAAAAAAAAATAGAGAGAAAATGATTAGCATATAGCGTTACCTTGGCAGTTGTCTCTGTAGTGCTGAGATTTTGGCGGCGGCGGGGGTGCGTTCGAGTATTCTATGGATGAGCCGAAAAAAAAAAAAGGAAAATAATAAATTAGCCGCACTACGATTACCATGAAACAATAATCACTCAGTGGTGTGGGTTCACTGTGAACATTGAACGCTGTCTTGGGTTAATGGGACGCACTCTTCCTCGACATCGATCGATATTGGTGCCCAGGAAACGGACCACTTCTCCAACGATGCGTTTAATAGGAAACGCATTTGTCAACAATCGAGTTTTATATATATATATATTTTTTAAATAGTTTTATTAATATTTAGTGTGTGAAATTTACCTTTTCGATATCGTATTAATCGATATTTTCGTAGTTAAAATATTTTTAATATTTTTAACGAGGAAAACCCTTTGGAAATTTGGAATTTTTCGTATTTAAATTCCCTAAGTTTGCTCCTTCAAGTGAAATCTTTAAAATTGTGCAAACTTTGGAGAACTTTCAGAAGAGAATCATCCATGTAAAAAGAAATATAAATCTCTTTCTTGAAATTGAAAATAAAAAATTGAGAACAAGTTAAGTTTCGGATAAGAAAATTGAAAATTAAGATTAAGAAAGAATGAATAAAAATTGAAATCTGAGAACGAAAAATAAAAAAAGAAAGTATTTCAACGGAACGTATTATTATCTAAGTATCTACCACATGTTCCTCTGATTTATTGTTTGACAAACAACAAAATAAACGATTCTTTTTGAAATGTTTATTGCAGCAAACTGAAGATCTTCAAACTATCCCAAACCAACATTTATACTAAATTTCACAAATCTCTCTATATTCGCGAATATCGGAGAACAAGAAACTCTAACATCTCCAACAAAATCCAACGAGATCAAAATAAAATCCCTTCCAAGGGAAAATCATCGTGCAACAATTACACTACTCTCTCTACTCAACGAAACAACTTTATAACTCTCGCTATAACAAAATGATCCACGCCAATTTCCAAACAGCGTTTTCCAAAGCGAATGAAAAAGAAAGATAATTCGCCTGGCGACGAAACCAACAAACACGACACTTCCGATCGACCGAACGAAACGCACCGTGATAATCGTAAGTCCGCAAGCGTGACATCTCTAAGGAGGAATAGTTTGTTGTTTTTTTAACAGTTATGAAAATTCAGACCTTCGAACGTGACGGTAGGTCGAGCGGTGTAGATGGGAATCGGCGACCACCAAGAGGCGGCTTTTCGTCGAGTGGTCGGCGAAGGTGGCGGCGGCGGTGGTTGATACCTAAATCTCGGCCTGTGTTTGTCAGGGTCGAACGGCTGATTGGCGAAACCGTCCGACTGCTTCAAGATCGACGACGGACTCCTCGTCGAGCCGCGTACTTTGCCAGCCACTTTGCCACCGCTATCGATCTGTGTTCCAGTGCACGCGGCATTCGTTCCAGTTTTAGGGGAGGATCGCCTGCCAGCCAGATCGGGCGGCGACGACAACGAGCGCATGTTATCTCGCCGACTGGGAAACCTGTGCGCCACCCATCGGCCAGCCAGATAAGGCGCAATGTCTCTCAGCTCGTGTATATCGGGCGACGAGGTGAACATCTCGCCGAGGATCGAAGTTTTCTGGCCAGCAAACTTCTCGAACTTTTTTCTCATACGTCCGACCGGTTTCCTCGCCTCTAGCTCCTTGGTCTCAGCCCTCCTGGCCACAGCGTTGGTCATGGTGTTCGATGCACCAGCCGAAGAATCCTTCAGCTCGGCTGTCTTGCTGATAACGTCGATGTGAGGCATGGACAAGTCCTCCCGTCTCAGAGGAACGCGCGGAATCGGCGGCGAGCCTCCCCTCCGGCGAGCTCTTCCTCTACGAGCGGGGCACTCGTACTTGCGACGCAGCCAGGCCACGTCCGCGAACTCGTGAGGCTTCAGCTTACCCTCATCCACTTTTCTCAAAAGGCACCTCGCCAGTTCCGGATCCGATTGAAAGCGTTTCGGCGCTGGGCCCACTCTCGTCCGTAGGTCCTCCGCGCTCTCGAATCTGGCTCTCAGTCGTCGAACCGTCCCGTTTCTCACGAGCTTCAAATAGGCGCGCCAGTATCTGTCCGGATCCGGCGACGAACTACGCAACCAGATGCTCTCGAGGCTGCACGATGAATTCGATCGCGTGGTCGCGCGACACGGACTGACACTGCGAGGCCTATCGTGTTCACGGTCGCGTGAACAGGAGCGGAGGAGCGCGAGCCGCGTGTCCACTTCCCGTGCAGGGCTGTCTCCACTCCACTTGCCGATCGACACTTTCGGGGAGGCCGAGCGTGTTCTGTACCCCGACGAAGCGAACGTCGTGTACCTCGCCGACTCTGTCTCACCGAACAATTCTCTCAAGTCTGCGAAACTCTGGGACGAGCACAATCTTCCCGGTTTTGCTTTTGCTTTTGCTTTTCCTTTCGTTTTTGCTTGCTCTCTGTTTCCACTATTCCGGCCGGCCTCCATTTTGTCGACGTTCTCGAAGAATTCGATCTTCGTCGGAACATCCTGAGACTCAGCGTTTCGTTGAATGACCGTTCTAACGGAGGTCTCCGAGCTCCCCGTCGTGCTGTCTCTCTCGCTGCCAGAATTCGGGCCGAGGATCTTCGACTGACGCGCTGACGAGTCGGGCACAGCGATCGCCAGGAGAGGAGATTTCTTCGACCATTCCTCCAAAACGTTCTCCACCCGCTGCCTGTCGGATGGACTCTTGTTGCTCGGCGTCAGAACCAACAGGAAGTCGTTCTTCTCTTCTTTGACCCTCGAGCCTGTCCTCGATAAATCCTCGACGTTTGACGAAGGTTCCAGGGAGTAACTAACGCTTCTCGGCGACGTGCCGGCTACGCTCGGCGCAGTCGAGGAACGAGTCACTTTAGGAATCTTCTTGGCAGCTAGCGCGGCTGCTATGCTGCCTCGAGTCTCGCGCGGTGCCAGAGGCACCGACAGCCTCCTCCGCGAAACTTTGTCCAGAACTTCCTTTCCAAGCGTCACCGACAGTCTCTTCTTCTCCAACTCGCTCATGGGCAAAGGAACACCGTGTACAGTCCTGTCCACGGAATCGAACTTTTCCACGCTTTCCCCCTGGCTGATCGAGCCGCTCCTCTTCAACATCGTTTCCGAACGATCGGACAGCGTCTTCGGATCGCCTGGCGACACGTCCGACGTGATCATGGAGTGACATCGTACGTGAAGACCCTTTCCATCGTCGGTCGAGTCGATGACTTCAGGCGGAACGACGATTTCGTACTTCGACAGAGAGTCCTGCTTGTCGGCTCTCTCTGTTCTCTCTCGTCGTTGCTCGCTGGCATCGGCATTGGTCCTCGAAGTCGTCGAGGACGGCGTAGGCCTTTGCAAATTGTCACTGCCGTAGATCTCGTTCAGCTGTTTCTTCAACGTGGCCACCTGTTCGATGGACAAACTGCTCCAAAACTTCTTACTGCCGCCGAGGCTTCTCTGCAGAGACGGTTCATCCAAATGATCCGCGTGTCTCTCGCTCTGAGTGAGATCGTTCACCTTTTTCTGCATCGTGCTCGCCACGTTTATCACAGAGGTGCCACGCCAAAGCGGCTTGTACGTGTCTTTCCTCGCGGAGATCTCTCTCCTCCTCGAGGATTCCAGCTCGCTCTCCTCGAACTGAAGCTTCTTGAATTGTTGAATAATATTCTCGACGGATCTTTCCTTGCACCTCAAACTGCAGTCACCGTGCCATTTGAACTTGGCGACGTCCCTGGTACTGAACAACAAGTCCTTGTCCTTCTGAACAGCCTTCAGCTTCCCGTAAAGGGCACTGAACTCCACCTCGGCTTTCTCTTGCGACCTGATCTTCTTCCACCTGTCGTAGTCTATGATCTCCTCGTTTCTCATTCTCGGTCTCAAATCGCCGGAGGAGAACGTTCTCTCCAGCTCGCCCAGTCTTTCCAAGCTCGAGTAGAAGTCCTGCAGCTCCCTGTACCTTTCCGACCTACTTCTCTCGTGCAATCTTTCGAGCACGTGCCGATGATACTCCTCCCGATCGACGGACGACGCGCACAGAGAGTTGGTGCTCCTGGTCAACGACAAATTCGATCCGCCAAACTTGGATCTGGCTGTTTGCAGTTCCTCGGCCTCTCCGGCGCTTCTGGCTCGGACCTTTCTCACGATGGTTGTCGCGCCAGGGACGTCCGATCTCTCTTGCTTCAACGCGCGAATGCGTCTGCAGGCTGGCGATCTGATCGGGGATGGTGAGGAAGTTCGCGACGACGGAGCTTTCGAATCGGAACACTCGGACAGTGTCTTTAGAGGCGGCTCGCTCGAGCTTCTCTCCTTCAAACGCTCCCTGATCGCCAGGGAGTCTGGACTACGATTGCGCAACGTGGCCGACGATCCGAAGTCATCTATGCCCAGCAGGCTGTCGAACTTGCTAACCTTTTGAAACACGGACCTCCCAGGCCAACTGACACCACCGTACGGGCTTGAACTTCTCGATGATACACTCGCTCGTTCCCAGTTCCTGAACCTCGAGTTCGACACTGGACGTTTGTGCGCCAGATAGATGCTCAACGATTTCAACGAAGGCTCCGACCTGCTGCCCTCGCGGATGTTTTCTTGGTAAATCCTCGCTCGTTCGCTCACGATCGACCTACCGTGGAGTGGGACGTTCTCGCTCGATGCTGCCTCAATCGAGATCGGCCTCAAGAAAAGGCTCTGAAAGAAGGTGTCGGAGCGTGTTGCCTCGTGATGTTTCTTCATCTCCTCCACAGTTAGCACCGGTGGTTGTTTGTCGAACGTCGACGACTGTTTGGAAGACTTCTGCCGGATATTCGGCTCCTCGTTTTCGATGTTGCTCCTCGTCGCACTCTCGCTCCCGGAGTCCGTCTTTCGTCCATTGGTCGCTCCCTTTGTCTTCGCGGTATCTCCGTTCTTCTCCTTCTTCGACTTCCTCCTCGCCTCGACCTTCTTTCTATTCGCATCAGGATTGATTCGTATGGTTTCTGGCTTTTGCACGGGAGACCTGACGATAGTCTGCGGTCGCAGTCTCCTCCTCTTGCCCGATTCGCTGACTGCCTCCGAGGAAGACGTAAACTCCCTGCTGGAGCTCATTTTCTCCGGATGTCTGACTATCGTCTTCGGTTTCTTAACGTCCGTCAACACCGTTCTGCGCGCAACTGACGGTGACGACGCAGTGGAGGAGGATTTTAAGGAACACGTGGACTTTGCCGCCGGCGTCGAATCGATTGGTTTTCTTAAAATCTCCTGCCCCTTCGACGACACTGTCACCACCACTTTCAACGACTTGTCCTGCGAACTCCTCTGCTTTCCACTGCTCAACGCCGACGAGTACATCATCGTGGAACTCTTGACAACTGTTCCCGACGGCAGCACCGTCGTTTCAACGTCCTTGCCTTGACTTTTGTCTCTGTATCTCTGCAAATGCTTCCTGTTCTCGACGGAAGACAAATCGACCGAGGATCTGGCGAGCCTCCTAGACGATTCCTCCTGCTCCTTTCTCGTCAAACGACCCCGAACGTTCGCCTTTTTCAAAGAGGATGCGGCGCCGCCAACTCCGTTCGTGGCCTCGTGCGATTTCACCTTCGATTTTGCCGAGGAAGGGAACGATTTATCATCGAGCCTGCGTCTCGTCGAATATTCGTAGCCAGTTCTCGAGGTGGCGGCGACACGACTTCGGTTCGCATCCGCCGAGAAACTTTCCGCAGCTGCAGCTGCGTCGGGCAAACTTCGCGACAGACACCAGTCCGACTTCTTCTTCTTGCTGAACGGGACGGACACCGGCGTGGAAACTTTCGGCAGAGGCGAGATCCGGCTGTTGGACGACGCCCGATACAAAGTGGAAGCCGCGAGGCTTTCACGGCTCTTCCTGAACCTGTCGAGGTTGCTGCAAAACCGTTCCCTCGGCGATCCAACGTTGGACAGGTCCTCCGCGAAACACTGTTTATGCCTGGACTTGAACGACTGAACGACGCCGGCTGCGGCTTGGTATTTCACGTTCGACACGCTCGACGCGTACAGTTTCAAGGTTTTGCTGTTTCTGGAAGACTGTCTTCGAGGCGGGGAGGGTGGCCTCGCATTCGAGACTGTTCTACCCTGTGAATTGGCGAGGCTGGCGTCTCTGTGAGGCTTCGATCGCGCGACGGTCGATCGAACGTCCATTTTCGTGGCGAACGATCGTTCATGCGGCGACAAAGCGGCCGTTGAGGAGGCAGGCGCTGTGACGTTTTTTCGGTGAACGCGGATCCGTGTCAAAGTGGGCGAGATCGGAAAGTATTCGACCCCCGAATCGTCTGTGGACAAAGTGTTGATTGGTTGCTTTGCTCGCGGATTTGCGTGCCGTTTCGTGGAACCCTCTCACCAAAAATTTTTGAAGAGAATAAGACCTCTTTGAAGCTGAAGGTGATGCTGCTTTTGCTTCTTTTTAGTTTCTTTTTTTTTTTTTTTTTTTCGTTTCGACTGTTTTTATTAAGTTTTAATCCGGCTGCGGCAGCGTGAACATCGGAAAGATCTTCTCAGGTGGTGGATACTGCTTGTGCATCGTATTACGGGGAAGAATTAAGTCGCACACCAATATCGATAGATGAGCCGAGAAGAGGCGGTGCGGTGAATAACTTAGAGAGCTACTTTTGACAGAGGGATATCGTGGAAAATAAAAAAGAGAGAAAAATAAAAGGAGGAGGTAGTATTGCGTTCAAGCTGGATATTTTTTTTTTTTTTTTTTTTTTGGCTGGCACAGCTGAAATCATGGTTACGAGTCATGCGCTCTGTATCTCCTTCGATCGACGTATTTATTCGAGCGAGATGAAATTCAAATTTATTATTACGCGGCAATTAGACCGGCTTGGAATGAGAAATATTAATGTCGTTCGAAGCGATCTACTGATATCTTCGTATACGTCTCAATTTGTGAAGAGTATAGATCTACACGGTGGCTCGCAAAAGTATTCAAACACTTGTACAAATGGATATATTGTGCATTATATTGTGTGTCAAATTTCAAAAATTACTCCTCGATAATTTGTTGCGTATGTGTAAATTTACGTGAAATATATTAATCGTAATGTTAATATAATATATTACATATATTGTACATATCGTACTAAAAAATGTATAATAAATTATAATATATAATACAATAAATAATTTATTATAATATACAACAAATTTTATATGTTATTATCAATATTGTATATCATGCGATGTAATTTCTATATCAAGCGTTTTGAATTATCATTAATATCGTAATGAAATTTAATAGGACATAGGAAAAAATTTTAGTCTATGTTTATTATTTACTTCATATTGTGTTCTTCAGAATTTTCCTTCTGCCAATTGTTCTATGATATTAGCCATATAATGTTGCACACTTAAAAATCAATTTAATCGAATTACAACGTACTATTATATGCTACAATGATTATAGAAAATGAAAGCTAAAAACCAAATTGATTTGTTCATCTGATTTTAAGATTGAAATGCATCTTTACAAATATAATAATAAAATAAGCAAATGTTCGAACACTTTCGAGCAGTTGTGTACGTGGAAAATTTATCAACACTGTTACCAATAAAATGTATCTAAAATAAATAAACGATCTGGCGAACGAACGAATCTTTGATGAAATTCATGAACGAAATTCACGATGCCAAGCGATGCTGCCGTCTCTGAATTAAATAGTAAGAGCGCAGGTGATTTATAGAAAAAAATAAATGAAGAACGTCATGCTTGAAGGCGTAAAAGTGTAATTCCACTCGAAGCTCCGAGAATAAAACGAGAGTTCAGTGAGACGACAACGAGCATGCAGGAATTTAGTAAAAAAAAAAAAAAAAGAAAAAAAGAAAAAGAACAAACGAAAACAAAAAAAAGAAAACGTAAGTTAGTAGTTAGACAAACGAGTTACAGAAGATAAAATTCTTGAAAGGCACAGTCGATCAATCATACGCTAGCATGCCTGTTTTCAAATAATATCGATCAACACCAACATAAAGTAAAATAGAGAAAGTGTTCACAGAGGAATACAGTAGTAATAATAATGATTTTCAATACCCTCGGATAACATAGAAATAAGTTGAAAAAAAAGAGAATATAAAATGAAATTGGCCGGGTTTTGGGAACTTACCCTTCGGTCGTTCTGGCGCGGGTTTACGAAGGCCATGAAGGGGTACGTCACCACCACTCTGAACAGTTTTATAGGCCAATCTTTGCTCGCGTTGACTCAACGGGCTGATATCTTCCTTGCGACGAAACACCAGCGTAGAATCACTTTCGTATCCTGATTCTTTAAGAGCACTGTAAAAAAGAAAGGAAGATTCGCTTTTAAAGAAATACTTTTGTAATATTTATAATAATTATATAATTATTTATATTATTAATATTATTAATAATTTATAATATTTATAATATTTTATAATTAAATTTATAATATTTATAGTAATATTTATAATTATTATAATATATAATATTTATATAATATATAAATTATATTATTATTATAATATTATTTATAATATATAATATTTATAATTAAATTTATAATATTTATAATAATGTATATAGTTATATACATTATTATAAATTTGTAATATTTACATAATTAATGTAGTATATTATTATATTAAACTACGCAATCATATTCAATTTTTTCGTAAAAAGAACAAATAGTCGTATCGTTTATAATATTACATATTTTATAATATTTATATGTTATATAAATTTTATAATATTTATATATTATACATATTATATATAAATATAATATAATATATTACATATTATAATATATTTATATATTCATATATTATATATTTATAATTACTTTACAAATAACCGAATGTTATTATGTAAAGTCTGTTCACGTTATTTATTTCTTCTCAGGATTTTCTCTCAGAACTGATAATCTTCTGAGGAAAAGAAAAAGGAACAAAGTTTTGCTATCTTTATAATACGTAATAGTCTGAATAAATTTATTTAATTTAAAAATCAAGGAAAAATTGTATTAATTGTATTAAACTTTACTCAACCCTAATTCTTTTACAATGTTTTTCTCTCAAAATACAATAAATCCAATTTCTAATTTCTTTCTAATTCATTAAAAAACGTGTTTCGATCGCGAGTGAAAAAAAGTATACTCACTGAGACATGTACGGTTTCACCGGGCGACTACCGCGCTGATCGAAAGGCTGAAAATCAAAAAACAAATCGACGATTGAATTCGTCAGGTTCACAGAAATTCCTTGCAATAATGTTTCACATGTACGTCATGCTTTTCATTGTTTCGTCTGTCCGATAAATCCGAGCTCGCGGATGAAACATCGTGGATGAAAGTGTGTAATCGATGTTGTTCGCACATGTACGGGCAAGACCACGTAATAATTGATAGTGTGCCCACAGAACATTGAGTGGTAGTTACACAATTCATGCGACATTCGGCTAATGCTAAGCGTAAATTAAGAACGACGAAGAACGCAAACGAACGAGAGATGAAATGCCATTGGGGTAACACAATAGTAGAATAATTCTTGGTAGAGAAGAGGCTGTAGAGAGGGAAGAACTTGGTAAAGAATACATTCACAATGATAAGAATAAAAGGGGACGAAAATGCTGAACGAAATGAGAAGAGGCTGCTTCGAGTTTAAATACAACAGCGATTTAATGCGATAGTGAGATAAATTGTATGTACAAACAGCGTTGTTTCAACGAATGGAGGAAAAAAGTTTGTGCAATTAACGTTATTATAACAAATTTTATAATAACTTTCATAATAATTTATACCTGTTTATTTTAGCGTTGGGTCAATTGTATTTGGATTTTACGATATATCATTTTTACTGAATCATTTATATCAGTTTCTATGTTTCTGCAATCTGAATTTGATTTTGCATTAAAGTGAATAAACTCGAAAAATTTGACGTGTTATTGATTTTTTGATTTGTACTTGCGTTAAATCTTAAGAGCTTCGAGAATAGAATAGATTGAAATAATATCCACTGTAAAATGATTGAATTAATTGATCGAAAGGTGAATATAAAGTATTTAAAAAATGACTGAAGTCCTTATTAAAAACATATTAATATAACTAAAAATATATGAAAGATATCCATATATCAAGTTAAAAAGAAGTTAATAATTTATTAGAAATCGAGAGATTTCAAGGAAATTGAATTAAACTTCAGTTAGTAATTAATTAAACTTCATTATTAATAAACTTTGTTTCTTCGTCGAACATATTCCTTTAATAAAAATATCTAAAAAATAAATTAGAAGAATTTCACTAAAGATACTGTTTTAAACTAATTAATACCAATCAGATGTCTACAATAAATGAAATAAATTCTTCCCAATATTAATTAATCTGATATACTGAAACTTAATGAAGACCGAATACAAAACAAGAAAAAACTATAATTCTCTGTAAAAAAAATTACTTTCTTCCTAATTTTAATTCTATTTTCATTTCAAAGATAATCTACACGATTGTCATTTGTTATCTAATTCTCACAAATTGTTGCAAATTCCTATAACGGTTTTCACTGAAAAATCTTTCTTCGTGATACCTTATCTAAATATAAAAAAAATCGTGCGAAATCGGAAATTATTTTTCCTGAAAGAAGTGAGCCGAACCGTATTGAATACAAATTCATGTGTTCCTTCCAAATCGAACAGCGGACTCTAAACGCGTTCGACAGACAACGTTCTCATCCGAAACAACTATTTGCGAATTTTACTACGCTCTGATAGTCCACAAAATCCTTCGAGGAGTCTTTCTCTGACCACAGGATTCGCAGGCGAACTACTTTGGAAAAAATATAACAAAACACTTTGGATCTCGTATCTTTGAGCAGCAAATTCTCGACGATTGGCAAACACGCTGGAAGATAAGACGATTGGAATGAAAACGAAGACGATCGGTAGGATTTGTAACGTATAGACAAGCGGTAGTACACGCATGCAACGAGAGACACAGCAGTAAAATGAGAAAAAGGAACGTGTAGTATATACAAGAAGAAGAATAAATACATCTGTGAGTCTAAGTTCGTGGTGCAATTGAAGTTAGGAAGAGTCCGTGGCTGAGAATAGGAAGAAAATGGCGATTAATAAAATTTCATTGGCAGATTATTTCTAAAGATTCTTTTTCTATTAAAAAAAAAAAGAATTGAATTTGAAAATTTGTCGAATATATGAAAGTATTTGAATACTTGTCACAGAAAACTTATGGTATACACTGTGGGTGTATATGTATTTATTGGAAATCATTTTGAGATTTTATTTAGCACTGTTACGAGATACGAGTACTGTGACTTCTGAAATAGCTCACAAAAGATTCCACTGAATATCGAGATAAATAAATAATTCTTTGTTTAAATATCTTTGTGATATTTATGCATGTAATTGAATAAGATATCTCATGGTTTCTATGTACATATTTATAATTGTTTTATCAAAAATTTTATCATTTCACATTTATGATTGTTACAATCTTATAACGACGTTAATGAAAATTCAATATTTTGTTAATCCTAATAAAATATTAAACTTCAAAATGAGTTACTACAAGTGAATTAAACCAACTTCGTCGAGATATTATCGTTCAATGAATTTCAATTTTTCTGAACAAAATACTTGGTACATATACATGTGACAAATTTTCAGGCTTAATTTTCTCAAAATTGAAATCTCCGGCGAAATTTTCTTGTTCTTGATTTTCACATTATTAAAAGGCACACAGAATCTTCATAATTTCACTTGGACCACAAATTTAGGCCCACGATGGATAGAATAAGGGCTATAGTTACAGTAAATTCATGTTCTGACAAACTGTTGCTTTGACGAAGGAAATATATTGTTAAACTTTCTACTTCTGCGTGAATTGTTATACCTTTAATCGAATTTCTTTACATACTGTTCACATCGATGTCACATCGATGAGCCTTGAATTAATTACCTTAACATTATTAATAATGATTAATTATTATTAATATATATTTTAAGCGATTGCTTAGATTGTCTCTTTGCAATAACTAAATTTACAAGAATAGACCCTTCATTTTTTCAATCGTCAAATACTAATTGCATAAACCAAAGGTTTATTTAAAAAAAAACTAGATATTAATAAATATGACAACTATTTAATTTCTAAATATATATTTATTTATTTTTTATTTAACAAAAAATATATATATATTTAGATATTTTACTTTCGAGATAATTAAAATTATTAAAATAAATTAATTAACCCTGATACAAAAGGTACAAAATAAATTTTTACTTATTTATTCTTAAAAAAATTCATTTTCACTATTCTAAACTATCAATAAAATTATTAATTTAAAATTATACTTTTATATTAATTTTTAAATTTTAATATAAAAGTATATTTAGTAATTATTACTAAAATATACTTTCATTATAAAACCTTTTTCAATTACACTAATTTAAAATTATATTTATATATACTAAATTTTCGATTTAAAAAAATCGGTCAATTTAACTCCCCCTCTCCAAAAAAAAAGACACGTGCTCGTCGAAACAACAGTTCGTCGGATACAAGTATCCACCGTAACCACGACCAAAGATCGGCAAGAAGACATAGAAATAAGACAGAGATCAGAAATAAAAGAGATCATCGAGTAAACAGAGGACAACGTCATCGTGCAATCTACTTGTCGACGATGCTGCGGCCTCTAACCCGTGAGACGGCCGACGTCTGAGCGTTGGCGGTGAGAAGAGTGGGTGTCGTTGATGATGGTGACGATAGCAAAATGTGATTGGTGCTGGAAATAGAAGAAGACGTAGAAGAAGAAGAGGTGGGCGAGACACGTTGGTGATGGTGATGATGGTGGTGATGGTGGTGGTGATGATGACGATGACGATGCTGTTCGTCGCCGGTAGCCTGTAGGAGCGTCGATCTGATAGCGGCCGATCTGTCGCCCAACGGCGAGCTCGACCGGCGTAAGCAACGATCCGGCAGCACGAAGCTCTTCGATCTTCCGTCCAGCATGCCAGCGTGCCAACCACAGTCGACGGCAGCAGCCCGTTCAAGAGGTCGTACGATCCGATCGACTTTCGTCTCGTCCTTGCCGCTTTTCGTCCCGATCGTTCTCTCTGTCGATCGATCGAGAGCCCCGGGCCTAGCGTAGTCGAGCACGTTCATGCTCGACCACTGCTTCGCGCCGGTCTGAGGCATCGAGCCGAGGCTCGCGCGGGATTTCGAGACGACCTCGAAGGTTTTCGAGCTGCTGACCGCTGGTACCCTTACATTGTGACTGCTCTCCGGTCGGTAGGAGAGGCTCAGAGCGCGATGGCTCAGCTGTGCGTCCCGGAGTTCCTCCATCTCTGTACCCTGAGGATGTCCATTCTCGTTCAACCACTGTCCCGTTGTTGTTGTTGTTGTTGTGATACAGTCGGTGATGTCGGTGGTGTCGATTGTAGGTAGATAGTTGGTTGTCAACGGCATCGTCCAAGGACCAGGGGAAGACCGTCCAAGGTGCACACGAACGGACACGATACGCAAACACCAAAGACACACACACACACATGGACATCGATCACGAGACATGTATACATTAGTACCGGTGGAAGTAGGTTCTTTTCTTTTTTTTTTTTTTCTTTTGTAATGAACAGAGACAATTTTATCGTGACAAATTGGAAGTTTTTTCTTTTTTTTTTTTTTTTTGTTTTTAGAGAAATTGTCTCTAAAGGATAGGAGAACGAAGTATGTCAGAAGATTCGCATGCATGGGTCACCGCGTGCGTTTCTTGCTATATATAGGTGCAAAGGGGCTCGACACGGAAAGCCAATTGTTAGACTACTTGGAGCTGTTAGTCTGAGAAAATTCAATGGTAACAGAAACAGAGGCACAACGAGAAAGGGGGATGTTTCTGATTGTACTGAGCATTGATTATTCCAAATGGGATCGTGAATCACGGTATTTCGGTGTTTTTCTAATGTCTTCTCGAATTTGTAGATGGAATTAATTTGACGATTTTTGAAATGGACATGATATTCTGTAGTTAAGCGAAATAATGAATATAATATTCTAAAATTTAAATGAGACGAATAGCAAGCGATTGATATGTTGATTGTATTCTTCTTGAGTGAATTTGTTTCTTAATTTAATGACACTCGATGCCATTTAATAGAAAATCACGTTCGAAATTGAACGACTTGCAATTTAATTTCAGGGTTGATTTCAGTTGATATTGACCGTGTCAGATATCTAGATCGATAGGAAAATAAGATTGCACAGGATTCGATACTGAAGAATAAGTAGAACAAAGGAGAAAGTAGAGCTGAACCTTATTTAACTATGATTAAATATAAAAATGGCGTACCCCGTCAAATATGTCCATGACCTCGTCCCACCACTAGAAACATAGAATTAAATATAGCGTTAATTTCTGCACTAATCATGTAAGGTTAAAAATGATATCAAAATTGAAAAAAAAAGAAAAGATAACTGAACGATGTATCATTTTGTGACTGCTTTTCATCTTATACGTAAAAATTTTTATTGACATTTTATGACGAAGTGAAGTATTTTTAATTTCAGACGTTACTGAATTAATTAAAAAATAAAATTACTGATTTAAATTTCCTGAATGACATTAAAAAAAAATTATTTATATTTAATCTAGCATCTCTTTGATAATTAACTCTCGAATAGTGTCATTGAATCATAGAAGACTATAACGATTTATATACATATATCAGATTATTAAAATTTACGTATATACATATGCATGTTAAATTATTAATATTTAACGTTTATATTCATTTTATATTTCTCACGACAAAGATTAGAAATTCAATTAATCCTCAAACCTGTATTGTCGTGTCATGGAAAATCATAATAATTTACATTAAAATTTTGGATTACTAAAATTTATTTACTAAAAATATATTAAATTATTAATATATTTGATATTTAATTTTACTAGAAATCAATAAATAGAAATTAGTAATACAATTCAATTAACTTTCAGATAGTATTGTTGAGTTAAAGATAACTATAATTTCTATACTTAATTTTGTATAATCTGTAACTCACACTCTCTATTACAGAGATGAACAGATAAAATTAAACTAAATTAAAAAATTCCAAAACTAAGTAATCTTAATTAATCCAATGTTCAATGATACTAGTTAATAGTTAACTGACTGAATTTCCCTATTAATCCAGTGATGCCAGTCAAGAGTTAACAACTGCTCTAAATCCAACTACGCGAAAAATGAACAAATACTTCCACGTTCGTACATTTCTATCCGCGCGTTGCCCTTTCTCTGGGAAAAATATTTCTTTTTATGAAAAGCGAGTCACAGTCTTTTGATCACTAAAAGCAGCGCTACTGAAGCTAACGAAATCAAGGAAACTAAAACGAAAGAAAAGAACGAGTACGATCAAAATATCGATAAGCATGGACGAGATTGCGTGCGCTTGGTACTTCTGAACACATCGAAATGTTTCTTTTTTCTTTCCTTTTTTTTTTTTAAATTTTACGCTGGAAAGAAACGTAACCGTGACGTCCGATCGTGGCGAACGAACGTGTCACGCGGCAACAAAAGAAGCTCTCGAAAAACCAAGTAAGAAAAAAAAAGAGACAAACAAGTGTTTCGCATCGTAAATTGATTTCAATCGTTCGATTAATCGTTACCTTCCTTCTCGTCCGTGTGACAGAAGTCGGCTAGAAGCAAAGCCATTTCAAACGATCAAGTTCGAGACACACTGTGTGTTCGGGAAGCTTCTACGTACCGTAGTGTATTGTCGTTCGATAAAGTGGCGACAATGATCGCATCGGTATGTTACAAATGCGTTAATCAAGCGTCGCTTTGATTGAAAACTCGCGAGAAAGCGCGCGACGCGAAACTTTCAGCCTAACTGGTTCTCTAATAAATCCAAGAAGACTAGACATCGTTCCTTGACCAACAGAGAACGGATAAGACGGTTGTCACTGACTTTTCTAAGAGTTCTTGCAACAGTCGAATGACAATAAAGAGACACAGAGAAAAATATTCTTGCGATATTAGAATTGTATACTCGTATATTTCATAATATGTGCACTTTAGGTTTTTTTCCTTTTTTATATTTAAAATTGAAATTCTCAATTTAGGACGCGCTTCTTGGAATTCACTTTCACTTTCAACAGTTTCGTTTTAGATAATTTTATAGACGAGCAAGATGATGAAACTAGAATTCAAAAGAATCGCCTGTTTCCTGTCGATAGATCAATCTTAATAAAGAGGCCAAGTAAATATTGTAAATTAAATAAAATCTTAAAATGTTGCTAAAAAATTCTTAAAAAGATATTGATCAGCCACTGCTTTATTTTCGTAACAAATTCATTAAAAATAGTGAGTTCACTGATGTTATATAAATGCCTTCTGCTTATCCTTTCTCTGTTAAGTAATCGAGGAATGTATTCGTACTTTGCAAAATGATTTTCATCGAATTAAACTATAGAGAAATTTCAATAGGGAATGTTTTCAGAGGGAATTCATATTAAAAAAAGAAAAAAAAAAAAAAAAATAGAGTGGCAGAGAGATGAAATATTTTTCGAGTAACATAAATTTGCATACCTCCTTGGCTTCCTTTTCGGCGATCGATGATCGTCCGGGCTCGTAATCCTCGATGCGTCCAGGCTGATTTTTATAAACCTCCGGCGTGTATCTCAATGCACCGTTTCTAAAATAGAAATGAAGGATTTTTAGAAACAGAGCGATTTCTTTTTTATTATTTGTAAATTTATCACTTCTTTTAAAAATAAATATTTGAAATCTTATAGGAAGTTCATTTCAACTCTACATGTATAAAAGATGCACATCCATAAAAGATCTTTTATAATAAATGTTAAATATTATAATAAAATTATAATAAAATATTATAATAAACATTATAATAAATGTGTAAAATTAGGAGAACTAATTGGAATTCTTCGATTAAGTTTATGACTCGTGATTTATGACTCGCAAGGTACATCGACTAAAAAAAAAATGAATAAATAAAAAATAAAATAACAAATTTAGTTTACTATTAAATAACAAGTAATTATTAAGTAATAGTAACAAGTTTACTATTTTTCGTAATAAAGGAAAAGTTTCTTTTTGCAAGAAATCTTAGATTTGATATCACTAGACATCCTCGTGTCGATTCGAATATTTTCTCTCATTAAGTTCGAACGATGTCAACATACTAAAACTACTTTGGAATAGTTCTCACATGGAACTCTCTCGTTTTGCACGAAATGTGAAATAAAAAAAGGGGAAAAAAATTCATTCAAATTAATTCTCGTTAGCGGAATAAAGGGAAATTCTTCTTGTAGAAACGAAATTTTAAATATGCAAATGTGCGTAAATTTTGGCGAGATCACTCTGTAAATAAACATTCGTCCCTTACTTTCTCGGCATAGTCGACGTGGAAAAGTCATTTTCCTTGTTACGTAGACGTCGACGACTGTCAAACGTTGCAGAGCGATCCGAGTACAAACGGTGTTCCGGTTCGCTTAAATATCCACTGCCACTTCCGTAACCGTATCTCGTCCCTAGAAAAAAGACATTCCCGATTTGTTAAAACTCGGGATCGTCGATCCACGAACGTGTTAAAAATTCTACCGTTCATCCATCACCGGCAACCGCAAGAAAAAAAATATATATATTGAACAAAATATGTACACGCATTTGCAACAATGAAATTTCGCATTGATGAAACTTTGAATGGGGGGGTTTCTTTAAGCTTTTGTTATTAATTGTAGATACATGTATATTTATTATAACCAGCGGTTTTAATGTAGTAAGTAAGTAGTGCATTTTGTTAAATTGCGTTTAATAGTAAATTTATTTATTGTGATTTTTACAAGATTGTTTCTTATATAACAGTTTTATTCACGTATACATTTGTCGACTGTATGTGAAGATAAATATCTCAGCAGAGCTGAAGTATTATTATAATATTGTTAAATAATTAGGTACAACCATTCCATTATTTCTGAAAACTAAAATAAAACTAAATATATATATTTTTTAATTTATTAAAATGTAATTATGTTAATAGTATGATATGTACTAAAATAAAAATATATATATATATATTTTTTAATTTATCAATTGATTAATTTGATTTTAAACTTTAAGTTTTATATTGATATAAAATTGATATTGTTATGTAATTACAGTTTGAATTAATATAAATCAGACGGATATATGTGTGGTATATATAAGACATCGCTTCTTGGCACTGATAATGACACAAATCAAAAATAATTAATTTCATTTTTAGTACGTTCGGTACAATTCTTTTATCATACGAAATGATATACGTATATTTGTATCTTTATTAGTTTCATAGTGAAGAGTAAATGTTACCAAGAGATGGATAAGTGTAAAATTAGACAAGTGTAAAATTATTCGCTTTTAAAATAGCATCGAACATAACTGACGAGGATTTACAAAATTAGATGTATTACTCATTACATTACGTATAACTTGGCAAACTAATCAAAATAGTCGACAGTTTATTTATTTCTGAGAATGTAGATTTGTTAAGTTATTCTATAAGTTTTTCCGAGTTATGATATATTTATGTCAAGAAGTGATATCATACGGCAAATTAAAAATTTTAATATTGTATCCGTATGAAATATAATTATTATGATATGTACAATTGAAACAACGGAAATATATCTCATAAATATTTGTTAATGATAAAATGAAACACAGTTTAAATAATAATAGGAACATAAAGGAAGATGCGCGAAAGAAATGTTATTCGACTGTGGAGGATTTTAAAGGCTTTGAAATGAAAGTTTCTTCTTTAGAGAAACTTTGCAACACTGCAAATCCACGCGTCGTCAAAAGAGGAAACAAACTCAAGTAATGAAACTCTGGGATTTCCTTGCCAATAATAATACTAAAGACCAAAACTTGCGTGTAACGAAGTTTCACATTTTAGAACAAGGAAAAAGGGTAATAGTAATAAAAAAATAAATGCCTGCGGAAATAAAGATTTTATAATTGAAAAAAAAATTTGGCGAATATTTGGCGAAGGTTATCGAGGTTAAATAAAAATATCTTACCAATTTATAATTCGATAATTTATGAATTCAGTCGAAGGTTATATTATTGCGTAAAAAAAAAAATTCGATGAAAAGTGTTTACACCGAAAAGTTTCCCGTAAAAATCTTTCGTCCGTGCCGATCTGTTCTTACTCGTTACTGCGCAACGCTGCGTACGGAAACGATTAATCGGTGAAAAAGCTGAAAGGGAAACGATTGACTGTGGTCGTTAATCGACAGCAGGATGTTAAATAAAGACGGGAACACTCGCAGCAAACGATCGAACGTGTATCGATCGGATCGGTTATTGTTACTTTCACGCACTGGCGATTAGCATGGTTAATACCGATCGCTATAATTATATATGCTGTGTTACGTTACGCTGTTATGTACATCGTCGACACGTTCGCCACACACACACGCACACACACATTGTGAAATACCATTGATAACACTTAGAGTTGTTACAGAGCGCGTTCATGTTAAAAAAAAAGAGAAACAGCGAAATCGACCGATGAAGAAGAAGGCCATTATCGCGACGTGTTAATATTCTAAGCTGATCTATTTCTATTAGTGTTCGTCTATGTTGTAATTTGTTAAATTCGTTGGAGCGTGTATTCACCTCTTCTTTGTTTGTAACGAATGGTTACGTAGTCATCTGAAAATGAGATTAGAACGTTAATCTCACGGGCCTCGTGATTTCGTTATTAAGAATTGAAATTCTTATTCAAAGTTGCGTGATAGTTTTTAAGTTACTCTCTGATTCTATCTATGGTGGACTGGACGAGGAAATTTAGAAAAATTTGCTGTTTCTAAAATTCGATTCTAAAAGACTCGTTTCCATTTCTAAAATTTAGTTCGAAAGGAATCTGTCATTTCGAGAATCTATTTTTCCAAAAGATCTGTTTATATGTTTTCGGTAGAATTATATTTTAGTAGACTAGTATGAGAAATATCCTCACGAAAGAAGAGCCATATGATTTGATTTAATAAGGTAGCAAATGTTATTCGATAACATTTGAGAGAAAATCACTCGATGATAATAGTTAATGATAATTTAAATTAAAACATCCTCGACAGATCGCAATTTCATAACAGTATTACAGACCTCACTCGTTAAAATGGCTAATTAAAATGAAAGAAAAATATTTGCCGGGCATTTTCGTAACATTAATCACTATCACAATTTTCGCTTGTCTCATAATAAGCATCGAAGCTATGCAACATTTGCCACACAAACTCACCGCTTCTGTCTGCACGATGCAACGAGTCGTACATTTTCTTGTACCATTTCGTTTGATTATTCTCCTTGACTTCCTAAAATTTTAATTTCTCAATCAAACCCACTGATTGCAAGGATAAAAGCCAATGGTCTTTGAAAAAATTCAATATTTTCCTTGTAACCGCGGAACGTTTAAAGATTTTTCATTCGAATTCTCGTGGTAAATAAATTTTCTACTCTATGTTACTTGAAACAAGACACAACTAAAGTTTTGATAACTTTAGTGTAAGTATTCCCTATTGTAAGCTTCATGTAAACGAGAAATTAATTTTCAGAAGATGAAGCGTAATTCATTTTTACAAATGTAACAAATTTGATCACCTCGAATGTATCCTGTTATTTTTAAAGATATGGGAAGAAACTTTATTTACAGAATTTGTCTGATACGTGCTATTTATTTAATAATTTATTCCAATAAAACAATAATATATTCCTTTATGAATAAAGTTTCCCCATACATTCAAAACTGACAGGAATAATCAAACTAGCCAATGTTATTGAAATATCTGTTAATGTAGCGATTCATTTTATTTTTTCATTTATTCAATCCCACGCTGTGGCTTAAAGATTTTAGTATCTATAAATATGGCACGATTCACAATATAAAGTTAGATGAATAAAGACACAAGTAATATAGAAAATATTAGCTAACGAATTTAATTCTGCGTCAAGTATTTTTTTATATTTACATTGTACAATTGTACAACAAATGTTAGCGACTGTAACAACTTTAGACTTTTCTGGTACCTCCGAGCACCCGAAAGGAATAGCAATCAACAAGATTGCAAAATATGCGAATAAATTGATGAAATTGCACGATTGTAATAAATACAGAAACATCAAGTACGTATAAATACTAAATATCTCACGATTATTGCAGCGAGGGATTAATAATAAATCGAAATAGATTTCACAGCCAGCTGAAACCTAGATGTTAATGAGCCTAAATTCTAAAGCTATCGAATAATTAACTCAACACAGATGATATACAGAGACCTACCGATCTTAAAACAAGAGGAATACCCTCCTTAGTCGTTGGGCCAATACCCTCGAATTTTCGAGGACCCAAATCGGCCATCTTCTTCGGCGGTTCATTTTCCGTTTCCGGCTCGCTCTCGTACTCTTTCTTCACCGTGTAAACTGAGCGAACATCCGTTTAATTTCACAATGCGCTCACCGTGAAACGCGTTCGGTTCACGCGAACTTAACAATGATTAATCGTATATATCGCGTGCAACGTGAAAAAAAAAAAAAAAAAAGAGAACCGTCCCGCGACACACGACAGAAGCGAATTAAAACGTTTTGAAACGTTCGGATCCACGGACGAACGATTGAAAGTCGAAAATCACGTGCTCGAAGCACGATTCAGAAAATAGTCAGCGATCATGGATCTGTGAAAAATCTGTACTCACTGATCTCGCCTGGACTAATTATCGGCTTTTCGTCGCTCGGAGGACGTTTTATCGTTTCGTTTTCCTCGAGATACGCTGCTCCTTTCGGCAACTGTCCCTCTAGAATTGCACGAGGGTAATGATTATATTGGTACGTAACAGAAATTTTTAAAAAAGATTGGTATATAACAGAAATGACATGGATCTTCCGAGGAATAACAAAGATATAGAGTTTATTATGTGATAGGAACTCAAAGCGAAGTCGAATCAAATATCGAGCCCAGAGATTATATCGTGGTATAAATTCTCTTGTTTGAAGGTGATTTACTCGATCATTGAGTTTCAATGTTGCATAGAAAATAATAATTAATCACCAAGTATGCAATATAATATAATATAAAATATAATGCAATAAAATATAGAATAAAATAGAATAAAATATGAAATAAAATAGAATACAATAAAATAGAAAATTAAAACAAGTGTAATGTGTAATACACGTTTACCAAAACAATTTCATCAAAAAAGTGACTGTGATCAAATCTAAACACGACATAATTATTAGAAACATTCTTATAATTTATTTAATTCAGTTTAAATTTTATACGTCTTGTTATATATATTTTTAAATCTCCTAAGAAAACCACAAATGTTTATTGCGTTGCATTTAAATTCCTTGCTGTTGTTTAATGCTACTTCAATTTATGTTTAAATCATTTATCATCGTTTAATATATATTCAAGCCGGTATTGAAATTATTCGTCGTTCCTTAGTATTATTTAAACGAGCAACCCAATCGTCTTTTCCTCTCGTGTCAATTTATCTTTCACGCCCTCGACCCGCGTTATCTCTTACCTCTCGCTTTCTGCAGTAATGTTATAGTTGGATTCTGAGCACGCGGCAGACGAGGCGTTGAACTTAATGAATTTAATCCTTGCGACGGCGCCGAGTGCGAATTGACAATTCGCGCGCTGCTCTCATAACTGCTTCGCGATGCTTCTTTCTTTTCGATTTCCGTCTGCCAGGGTGGCGGGGCGTCCGGTGTATCCTGGTAAACGACGAATGAACACACACAGATCGTTAGCGATAAACAGTTAACAGTCTCAAAGGGACAGAAACTTTACTCAGCAATAAAAAAAATCTTTCTCTCCAAACGTCACAGACAAAAAACGCGATTCATAATGCGAAAAAAGCAATTCATAATGCTACGAGGTAACATTTGTACTCCAGTCAGAATGTCAGAATTTTCGTAGACTTTGCCAACGTTTACGCTCGCGAAGCGAAAGATATCTGAAATGGCCCCCTCTAAATTTTACAGACGAACGAAATGGATAGGAAGCGTTCTTGATAACGTACTTCTTGCTGCGTTAGCTTCCTTCGGCTCAGAATGGGGCTTTCGAATTGCACCGGTCGAAATTCCTTTTTCTCGGGAACTGGACTGGCTCCGGCGCTGGAAGGCGTCCAGACGGCAGGGATCCCATCATCCTTCTCCGATTCTTTTCGCTCGGGGCTCGGCTCCTTCGGTGGTGGCTCGCTTCCGGGTGACCAAACGCCTGCTCAACAATCATTCGTATTATTCTACCGCGATAAAAATAAACATTCGTGTTACTATAATATTCGTTTAAATGTACACGATATATATATATATAGTATAATTACTATATATAATATTGTATAATTATATATATATATATATATATATATAATATATACATATATATATATTGTATAATTACTTATATATGTATGTGTATTCATACTACTAATATTTTGTAGTTGTAATTATTATAGACTGCGAATATTTACGTAAGTTTATGCTTTTACATATATATATATATATATATATATATATATATATATATATATATATATATATAATTATTATATATATAATATTGTATAATTATACATATATATATATATATTATATATATATATTGTATAATTACTTATATATGTATGTGTATTCATACTACTAATATTTTATAGTTGTAATTATTATAGACTGCGAATATTTACGTAAGTTTATGCTTTTATATATATATTGTATAATTACTTATATATATATGTGTATTCATACTACTAATATTTTGTAATTGTAATTATTATAGACTGCGGATATTTACGTAAGTTTATGCTTTCGTTCTTTGTCAGATTATTTTATTGTACAGCTCAAACAGATTTCTTTATTTTTTGGTGTTTTCATTGTTTCTTGTTTTTTATTCTGCGCTCTTTTTTCTTCAAATAAAAATTAAGTTAAATAGAACCTTCTTTGTTTGAACTTTGTTTATTGAAACGATCTTATTGATTATAGTAAATGTTTCAATAATTAATTCAATAATGCTATTATAAAAAGATGTGAAAATAATCGCGAAAAAGTGGAAGCCAAAGGGGAAATACGAATTATTAATGTATATCTGTGCAATAGTATATGTATTTGTAGAGTATGTGAATATGTTTGTGTATATTTTAATAATTTTAATAACAAGGTATATTATTAAATAATATTGTATTCAGAGTCTTCGATTCTACTAAAAATACGAAAGATATTAAGAACTGAAAAAACGGTTTACAGAAAAAGTGACCAGAAACTGAACTGTATTTTGAGTATTTTTATATTCTGAACCATATACTGTTTATATTTTTGTTGTAGCTGTATATGCATCGTTCGTATTTTTTCATCTCCGAATTTCCCACAAATATACATAAATATTCGCGGTCTAGTAATTTTTACTTAAAAAAACGTGATGTTAAAAATTGCGCAGTTATGAAAAAGACATAAATACAAACGAAATCATTTATCATGCTGGACAAACAAGTTGCCATATTATCACATGTAGCTATCATTTGCTTCTAAAAAGCTTCAGCTTGTGTATCGTATTTATTAATTAAGATAAATCGTTATTAACGAAACCGTAAATTTTAATCAAATACTTTTCATGTATTTAAAGAAGAGAGAATATCTATATTAAATTTGTAAAAATTTATTACCTCGTGCCAGATATATTATTATGCAATTTAATTTAATATTAATTATTTTTTAATTGTAATAATCTGCTGCAATAAATTTTATTAATATAAATAAAATCTGGATTTCATAAAGAAAGCAGAGTATTCTTTTTATAAAACTTACCTTGTAGATTATCAAATACATTTAAATGTATTTCCATCGTTAAATTAATCTAAAATTACTTCTGTTACTTTTATACCATTTATCTATACTAAATGATAGTTTTTCGTTATGCTCTACACTTGCAATTTCGAAATATATACAAATTCAACGTAGATTTCAACGTACGGCATAACGAACGAAGTTTCGAAAGCAATTACTTCGTTCTAACATATTCCACTCCTGCATATTACGTTCTGAATCAATAAAATAACGTTTATAATTTGAAATTTACAAGACTGCGTTTACGTTGAAAATAAAATTTCCAGAATATCAAGCAAACTTCTTTTAGAATAAAAATATATTAGTATGTATTTACACTTTAAAAGCATATTAGTATTTTACGCTTTAAAAAAAAAAAAAAAGTAACTCAGATTATAACTAACTATTAGAGATATTAAGTTTATTAATATTACAAAATAATCTAGCAATAACTTCACGAAATTAAAAAAAAAAACATACGTCTGACTTTTAAGTGTACGAAGAAAAACCAAGAAGAATTAAAAGATCCTGCGAATAATTACCTACACAGTTTCATTAATAATATTTGCCAAACAATTTCAATTAATAAATTTTCTAAGAGCTCCCATTCATCCAACAGCAGAATTGCTTTGTTACAGTATTCGACATTTCGTTGTGCTCTATATATTTTTATATTCATTTCCTTTCAAACTACAGCTTGAAATAAGAATAAAACATTTTCGACTAGCGTTTCATTTTGTTATTCTGCGTAACATCGCAAATAGTCGCTCCGGCCTGTCAGTTACCGAATCAAACGGCCGATTCCAGTTTCGAATAAACAGCGTACGTGCCGAGTTCTCGAAAGCAAGAAAACAGCGCCTCGAGTTTCCAACGCCGAGACAAATGTTACGTTTCGAGCCACCGTGAACTCGGTCGTCGAGAAGCAAGAATTCCGGTAGAAGAGGCACGCTAATCTTGGCCCACGGAGGGGCATTATTAGATAAAGAAATCGTTCTTTCCGCGCCGATTTCTCGCTCCATTACGCGAACCGAACCCAGAAAAGGGCGGAAGTCATCTTTCGGTCTGCACGCTGAATGACGATAATTACTCCCCACATTTGTACTCCCTCGTGAAATCCCGAAATGGCCATTAGCTGTTCGAAAGAGTTTGGCCTTATTGTTGAGCTGGCTGGAATTTCAGAATTTCTGGAGCCAATGATAAAATAGGTGTTTAAGTTCTGGAGCGACTCGCGAAAGTATTTGAATGCTTGCAGGAACTTCTTGTGAACATATTATATGTATTATTATATATATTATATATATATATATATTGTATATATTATACGTTGTATATTGTATTATATGTATTATTATTATATGATATATATTATTATGTATATTGTATATATTATACGTTGTATATTGTATTATATGTACTATTATTATATTATATATATTATTATGTATATTGTATATATTACATGTTGTATATTGTATTATGTGTATTATTATTATATTATTATGTATATTGTATATATTATATGTTGTACATTGTATTATGTTTATTATTATTATATTATAATAATTATTGTTATATTATTATGTATATTGTATATATTATACGTTGTATATTGTATTATATGTATTATTATTATATTATATATATTATTATGTATATTGCATATATTATACGTTGTATATTGTATTATTATTATATTATATATATTATTATGTATATTGTATATATTATACGTTGTATATTGTATTATATGTGTTATTGTTATATTATATATATTATTATGTATATTGTGTATATTATACATTGTATTATATATATAATATATATTATATGAATTATTACAAGATATATTGGACATTTTATTAATGGCTGGTGACGCTATACCGACTTGGCTGTCACATTTATTATTTACTGCTGCAATTTCAAGAACTAGTATATTTAAATCTTTTGTCATATTCTGAAATATATATCGTCGCATATGTTTTATCTTGCTCGCATTTGAAGGAGAATTAAAAACCGACTTGAAGGGGAAATATCTTCTTTCACGTGTGTGACACAGATGAGGAATACGATCAAAAATTTCAAATCAAAATACAATATGCCGACGCAGGCCTCGTATAACCTACATAGAAATCTTTTACCGATATCATTACGAACACGTGGTAACATCGTTTGGAAGTATTTATTGATACAAGAGTGGAACGAATGTACGATTTCATATTTCTGTCTTCTTATTTCTTTAACAGAGAGAGAGACAGAGAGAGAGAGAGAGAGAGAGAGAGAGAGAGAGAAGATTCTATTCGTAGTGGATACGATAGTGATTCAAAAATGATGATAAATATAAAAATACAGAAATTGAGAATATTACATTTTGTTGATATATAATATAAAATTTCATTTCTATATGAAATGACATGAACGTATGCTGGCGATATTAACGAAAGAATAAATAAAGATATAGATTTGTATATTTTTTTAAATTATTGCATTATGTTACAAAAATACGATGATAATAAGTATTAAACACTTATAATAATATAATTTCGTATCAAAGTATCCTAATTTACTATTCTTTATTTTTCATTCCAAAGACACGAACAAAACATAATTTAACTATATGAATATTCGTATTATTCTGAAAAATCAGACAAGAAAACAGAGTGAGAATCGTCTCACGTTGAATTCTGGTAGTTTTTTTTTTTTTTTCTTTTTTTTCGTTTCAAAGACCTCGTACGATTCGGGAAGATAATTTCGACTTTGCACGCGTCGATTGCGGCGGGCAGGAAATAAGGCAGCGGTTTATTCGGTGGAAACGCTCGTAAAATTAGAAATTCGTGGGCGTTGATATTAAAGGTATGCCTAATTGCAATTGGCCGAGGCAGCATTGAAATACAATGCCCTGATGATTTTCTGGAACGGCCTGTCACGCTCTATGCCAATTTTCATTTCGATTCAATTTAAAATTACACCGCGAGAAACTGGCCGATCCTAATGAGCTGTGACTCTCTTGTTCACATGCAACAAATTCGCCACGAAGATCGAAAATTTAATTTTGTCCCTTGGTGTGAAATTGACACACTGATGGAAAATTAATAATCACAAAAACTACCAATATCTACAAAAACACCAACAAGTATTAAATTATTTATATAATTTTAAGGATCCAAGCGTGTCATAGTTATAATAAATTTGCCAATTCTATCGTTAACAGTAAATAATACTAAATTTCTACTCTAGATGCACAATTTTGTGCCATGATATTACACATTTTATACATACTTTATAATAATTTATAATATATATATCAAAGTCTGTGAAGTTGACAGAAAGAAATAATGAGAATTAATGTAGCACGGATGTGTTCGTTATGTGTTGGGGAAATAAATCATTTACAATAGTAATCTAACCTGTCCATTCTGCTCGTTCATACGTACTCGTTAACGCTGTGTTTCGTATATACACAAACTCATAATTGATCAACTTCCACTATCCAAACAAATAAGAGTAGAATATGTAGAAACCTAGCTTCTATTATTCGAACTTCTCAATTATTCGAGTCCTCGACATGTCCGGATAAACGAGGTTCCACTGTATCGTCTGTTTTACTTTCGATGCGAAACAGTTCTGGCAAACTAAATATTATTTCCTGCTGGACTGTTGAATTTCTTCATCCGTTTGCATGAATACGTGAATACGTGTATTTCGTCTTGATAAATTATTATTAATACGTGACAATTTTTATGGAGATGTGATTCTTTTTTTTTTTTTTATTTAGAGATAATACGTATTGCTTCATATCTAACTACGTAACAAATTTTAATAATCTTATTTTCGATTTTTATATATACTTCTATGTCTTGAAATAATAATTTTGCTTTTGTATTGTCGGTTATAAAAAATGAAAGAGATACTTATTTTCAAATTACAAAAGTTTCATCCGAACGAGGTGAAATCTCTAGCACGTATAATTAACATTAGGTAATTACAAACATGCACATTTAGAAAAAGAAGAAATACAGAACACACGTACAAAGTACACAACATGTAAATTATTATGGTCAAAGTTACATTACACAAATTTTAGTTTGAAAGTCCATCGTTTCAAAAATGTCATACGAAAAATTTTTGAAAAATAAGGAATCTACTGTATTCCCAACGAAATGAGTCTACATCACAAATTTTGCGAACGTTTGAATAACAAGTTTCATACTAAAACTAAATAAAACAGTTAATATCAAGAAATAATTTTCTTTCAAACTGAGGTAATGATGATATTAAGAATTCAATTCATTAAGTTTCATCTCCTCGTAAAATATATAAATATAAATATAAATATAAATATAAATATAAATATAAATATAAATATAAATATAAATATAAATATAAATATAAATATAAATATAAATATAAATATAAATATAAGTATAAATATAAATATAAATATAAATATAAATTATAAATATAAATTATAAATATAAATATAAATATAAATATAAATATAAATATAAATATAAATATAAATAAATATACCTAAGTTATTTGTTGGACAACAATTTTGATACGAAAATTATTAATATGTTTGTGATATTACAAACCGTATGGATATGAAAATTATTTTAAAAAAATTCCGTTTAAAAATCATATAAATTTTGCTTCAAATTTATATCAGAGAAAGATGCGATATTCCGTGACAACATGATTATATCTTTTGCAATAATTCTCACATTGCTAATACATACTACGAACGTACTTGTTAGACGTTCTATCCCCTTTCCAATACACAATTCACAGTAATGTAAAGCATTCTGTTAGTCTCACACGTTTCGTTTGCAACTTTACCTGGTGTTGCGGAAGAAGCTTTAAACGTGGGAGCGAACATAACGTTCTCTGAAAATACCAACAAGTATTTTAAGGATCCAAGCATATCATTATACACTGTCGTTTATTGAAAATACTGGCAATCCTAACAAATAAAAAAAAAAAAAAACTCGCGGCTACTAATTTCATAAATGGCGAATTATGAGAAACATTTCGTTTATCAAACTTCACGAACCTTTATCATTTTAAATTAAATATAATTCCGAGCAAAATTTACTGTCCCATGAAACTGTGAAGTGTTATATAAGCAAGTTTGACGCAAGGTTGTCCTGCATATGGCGGAGTAAAGCTTCCGCTCGTGTAATATTTATATGTAAATATTTAAAAAAATATACTAACCTAGAATAACCTAACCAATCGTCACATTTGATATTGTATTATTTTATTATTTTATTAAAATCTATTTTTTATTTTAAAAAAAGTTTGTAATGATAATATTTAAAAAAAATATGCATCTAACCAAACGTCATATTTCATATTGTATTACTTTATTTTAAAAAAAATATTTAAGTGAACGTCACGGTGTGTGATTTGTACTTTTTCATTTGACACTATGATTTCCTAACAACGACAATGTTCTACTAGTTTCTATTATCTTTCCGATCAATTATTATTACAGTCTGGTAATATTTGATTTTACGAGGAATGTATCTTTAAATGTATCTGTAAATGTATTTATATGTAAATATTTAAAGAAACATACTGACCTAGAATAACCTAACCAATCGTCACATTTGATATTGTATTATTTTATTATTTTATTTAAAATCTATTTTTTATTTTAAAAAAAATTTGTAATGATAATATTTAAAAAAAATATGCATCTAACCAAACGTCATATTTCATATTGTATTACTTTATTTTAAAAAAAATATTTAAGTGAACGTCACGGTGTGTGATTTGTACTTTTTCATTTGACACTATGATTTCCTAACAACGACAATGTTCTACTAGTTTCTATTATCTTTCCGATCAATTATTATTACAGTCTGGTAATATTTGATTTTACGAGGAATGTATCTTTAAATGTATCTGTTTTCTATGAGCGTATGCTCATCAATCATTTCACCTATTTCAAGTGCTCTATTTATATATAAAGGTGATATCCGCATTGACAGGCAACCGTGACCTTTGGAAACATGCCATGATTACTCCTGTTGGAGGCATAGCGTGTGTTGCCGAGTAAAGAAAAAAAAGAAAAAAAAAGAAACGAAGAAACTTCCCTCTAGCGAATTCCGCGAATAATACTCGTACATGAGTGTTATTTACTTTCTTCTGCCTTCAGCATCTTTTGAAAAGTTAATTTTCTAATTACATAATTTATAATTACATAATAAACACATAATGTAATTATCCGAGTGAATAACTTAGGAGACTTTGAGTTATACTATCGAGCTACACTCGTGGTAGGAATTATGGCTTCGATTTGAAAGAAAAAGCAACTTGCAGTCCTATAGGATATGAATTTGAATTTTCAATTTTAATTCTTCTATGATTCTTTCGAAAATTATAATATAATTATGTTATAATAACTAACGTTTGTTGAAGACTAAGAAGAACGTACGGTAAGGATAATGTGAAACTAAATTAATACGAATATAAATATGAATAAAATCACAAATCAAAATATAATTCAAATGAACGTGAATAATTCGAGTATAAGTAGAAATAAGAATTAATAATTTTTGAAAATAGGAATAAAATTAATAATTAATTGTACAAAAATGACTCGGTTCTAAGTTATAAATTACGTTATACTAAACTATTATATATTATTAAATTATATCATGTGAATTGTACATTATATTAAATAACAGATAAATGAAAGTATCATGTAGAAACTATGTGCGTACACTTAAATAGGTGCAATGGAAAATAATTTAATAAAATGAAAAATGATTTAAGCGTGACTGTATGTTATGAATCCAACAATATCAATACAAGCATAAATTTGATCGAGATAGGAACGTGAAATAATTCAAGTATAAGTAGAAATTAATAATAGAAGAATTAATAATTTTTGAAAATAGGAATAAAATTAATAATTAATTGTACAAAAATGACTCGGTTCTAACTTACAAATGACGTTATACTAAACTATTATATTATTAAATTATATCATGTGAATTGTACATTATATTAAATAACAGATAAATGAAAGTATCATGTAGAAACTATGTGCGTTCATCTAAATAGGTGCAATGGAACAAGGAAAATAATTTAATAAAACGAAAAATGATTTAAGCGTGACTGTATGTTATGAACCCAACAATATCAATACAAGCATAAATTTGATCGAGATAGGGGACGAACGAGGACTCGTTCGTTTGGTGCGAACGCACCGTAATATACACGTGAAGTATTTCCAGTCTTACGACGTGAAATGAGATTCATAGAGTCGCTACGGCCTTAAATCATGATAAAGAACATGCTAAAGACTTCTTAAATTGCTTCTTTATAAGAACGGTGCTGGTCATTAATACAGAAGCGAGCTTGATGAGCTTCAAAGCGAAAAGAAGAAGAAGAGAGAAAAAAAGAGGAAAGAAAGGAGAAAGGGTAAGAAGACGTAAAAAGATAGGAAAGTCTACGAGAGGGAAGGTAAAGTATCTCTTAAAGCACGATCTATAGATCCCTCGTGGCTGGCAACTTTCTAATTCTACAGTAGACCTCAACGTCTGGCCATTGATTAAACAAAAATTTCATAAAAACACGTTTGATGGTGATAATTATCATTTAATTGATAATTAAAATTTTACCATAATCCTTTATTCGTAATTGTCAGAACAATAAATTTCGTTAGATACTTCTGCACGCCAGTGTATCTCAAGCAGAACTTATTGATCGTAGGGGCGGGAGAGAAAGTAAAGACTCGTTCGTTGACGTTCGAATCGAATTTCGCGGCCGGAAAGAACCTCAGAAGCGGAAGAAGCCAGTGGCTGACAAACGAAAATAGCGCGCGACTTCTATCTCGAACACACGTATATTGCAATTTCGTGCAATCTGCGGAGCGGTAACGTGACACCTTTATGTAATCGAGAACCGGCAACCGACAGGCTTTGCTCCACGTTTTCCTTTCGATATTTGCAAAACACTCTCAGGTATCGCGAATTTTTCACTCATTTCTTTTTTTCTTTTTCCGCAAACGCAACTGTACCGTTGGATGGAACAAGAGCGCCAGGACGCCCGATGGTTAAAAATAACGTTAATGCTGAAGCAAATATAGCAATTGATCTGTATTTTCATTGCACGTTTAATATAAATTTCAGAAAATCTTCATCTCACTGTAACCCACAGATGAGAATAATGTTTCTCGATTATTTAAAAAATTAATTTAACAAATGTAACAATTAAATGTTATTCCAAAATTAATTTAATTAAGAAATAATGAAACGAATATAACAATTAATTTGTATTTCCATTAGATGTTCAGTTCTGGTTTACAATAAAAGCATTATGATTTTTACATTTTTACATTCTTTGCTCTTTATAGGAAGAAAAGAAGAATCCTTTTGTTATGATTTTAATTTCCAATTCTTTCGTAATAAAAAATAATTCTAGAAATAATATATTTTTCTCATACGTTGAATTAAAACTTTTTCTTAACACTGTGGAATGCAGTTATTTTATACTAATGTAATATATTACTATAACAAATATACTAATATGCAATTTAGATTGTGTTGAAACTGTTAAGAAGAAATTCTCTCAGTATCATATATACAATCACTTGCAACAACATCACTGCATATAAGAAATATTCAACGTTTAAATGTGAAAACTATAAGAAAAAAAAAAAACTTAAAATACATTGAGAATAATTATCTATCATTGCGTATCATTGATATATTTGCCAAACAAATCATCCAATTAATAAATCCCCTAAAGCAGAAGAAAATTGTAATCCTCACATGAACCTTCGATTCTAGTTTAATAATTGGAATTCGCGTCTAATTTATAATAAATTGAAATGCAAGAAATAAATTTTCCTCCGCAACAGTAGAAACAGAGAGTATTACATAAATCTTCAAATAATGACATCAACGCACAATACTAAACTTTAAAATTAGAACCGCCCGCGACGGCCCCGTTGGCCTATTTAGGGATTGACCATTTTTTTTTTTTTTTTTAAATTAAAAACAGACAACAAACGCTCACGGATTTATTTCCTATCGTTCACTGAGATCTTTTCTACGTCCAACGGTACAATTCTCGACACTTTCAATCAATTTAACACGTCCAAGTTCCATGTTCATTCTCCCCGGAATATTTACGAAGAAATTTCAACGCGTTAATCGCGAGAATTTCATTTCTTATGCGGCTTAAACGACAGTGTGTTTGAAAGAAACGTTGGCAGCGAATTGCTATGCAAGCCGTAACGCTTGTGTAAACGTTATCTGACAACATGTAAATATTCACGAACGCCTCTCGCAGATTCTCGTTTGAGACGAGGTAACGAGAGTCGAGCTTGTAATATCAGTCTCAAATACGATCGTACGCTTTGTGGAGTTTGCAATTTAACCGGCGTTCCGTATAATAATGGCGAATAACGAGATTGGGAAGTAATGAATAAATTTTTCAGATTATCATTTGCCATCGTTGAGTTTGTTGAGTTTGAACGTTTAGAGGACTCGGTGATAATGATCGCTGGATAATCACATCTGCTTCGAGGACTTGCATATTGTGAGCTTGTGAATCAAATATTCAATATTCATAAATTTAGTATAAAGTTTAAAGTAAAACTGAATTTATATGATCACATTTGAACTTCGATTTGAACTTAAAATTGAAACTTTGGTTAACTGAATGCGAGTTTTTGTAGAATACTAGTAAATAGACTTTTAATTAGAATCTCGGTATTAAAAAGGAATGACATTATAACTTGATTTAATATTCAACGTTCGTATTGATAACGTGTGTGTGATAGTTAAAATTTTGGAAAGACGATATCAGAAAAACCCAAATGGACACAATTACTTAAGAACCTATCTGTAAAGAAGATATTAAACATC